TCTCAATATTCCTTAAATGCCACACCAAAATTGTTTTCAAGCAAACTTGGGGTAAAGATTCTAGTTAGTTTCCACTTGAAAGGATACCTGCCTTCCTGAAGTCTATGCGTCTGTCAGCCTTTTCCTTTATCATGGATGCCCACTGATAGATAGTTCCTTAAATTTATAAATGTAGTTTAGGCACCATTATTCATCTAAATTCAGTGTGAAGTCATTCTCCTATGCCCATGCTATAGAGGACTTCAAAATCTTTATACATTTAAAGCCCAGAAGTGAAACAAGTAGCATTGTTTGGAAGATGTGTTGAATTATGCCCTTGCTCCAAAGCCTATGAAATTACGTAGCGCATTTTCAGTACAGGTTAAGCCCTTGCAAACCAAGCAAGAGTTAGCAACTATTCGGCCAAGTCTGAAAAAGGTTAAGATTGAAGTCAATTCTTAAAATTCAGTCAATCTTTGATTTCTTAAATAAGTTAAAAAAAATGCACAGATACTAATGAAAAAGAACATTGGTATGTGTCTCTGAAAGCAAGAGCTAATCCAAACCTCATTAGAGCTTTAAGCTTCTACTTTCCCCTCCTAATTCTGTTTTGCTCAGCCTAGTATTTAAATTCATTTGCATTCCCTTGACACATGCCAAACATTGGCAAAGAAATGGATCCCAAGGTGTCCTGAATCCAGGAATTGACTTTCTCACCCTTTTGCTCTGGGCTGTTTTCCCCTTGCTAATGTCAACATTGGAGTTTTCTTTTTCTCTCATCAGCCTGTTCCAATCGTTTGTACAGGGCAAAATGGGATTGCACAGAGCATTTAGTTTTTAATGTTCAGCACTGCGGAAGAACAGACTGGGCCATTGCAAGGATGACTGGATGGTGTTGCTTGAGAAGCACCCACAAGTTCTTTGAAACAGAATTTAGAACAGCTGGACCGCTGCAGTGTTTTATTTTAAAATAGACAACATATGTAATGCATATGGTCCTAGACATGTATGGAGACACAGGCAGACAATCTGAATGGTATCCAAAGACACCTGCACCTAGAATTCTGTTTCCTTTTATAAGATTTTTTTCCCCCCTAAGAGCACATGTTCCCACTTTGGGATTTGCAAGATGCCATCTGAATCCCCATGTGTGTGACTCCTTAATAAAGTCGATGGGAAGTTTCCTGGGATGGAGGTGTCAGAGTAAGTCAGTTAATAAATACCTCCTAAGGACCTGGCTCCTCCGGGAGCTGGCAGGGAAAATAACAGATCAGGAACATATCCTCAAGAAACATATTATCTATCAGGGAATTTAAGTGTGTGTTCTGACCACAGAGAAATTGGAACATCACCCAGCAAAAACACAGAGACAGAGATTAGGAATTAATTATACAGGGCCACAGGAGAGGCATAAAGCAGAGAGCTTGGGAAGGACTCTGAGCTTCCTAGAAACAATAAGGTTTAAGAGGCAACCTCTAACTAACATTAGTGATCAATGTAGAGACAGCCTTGGCTTTCTGAGAATATTAGACCAACTGACTTTGAGAGTGGTGAGAAACCTGCTCGTCTACTCACAGCTAAGGTGAGCACCTAGTATATGCCAGGTACCTAGGTGCTTTACAGATTCTTCTTACCAGATCCTGTCAACAACCACCTCTGAGGGTAGACTCAAACACCTTTCTCAACTTAACACGTGAGGGAAAATGAGACTCAGAAACATTAGTCAGCTTCCTCACGTCTCATACCGTCTAACAGCAGAGCTGGCCTCACATTCAGTCTTTGTGACTCTCTAAGCCCAGCCATCTAAGCACCTGCTGTCCTACCTCAGATAAATTGTTCCTGTTGAATTTAACGTGTCAACATTTCCCAAAGTCAAGAAATACAAAATATTTGTCGACCGAGTGAATTTATTTATTTTGATGAGATACTGATAAATTAATTATTTTAACACATATGTCTTGAGTACCTGCTGTGTGCCAGGTTCTGTTGTAGTTACTGGGAGCACAGCAGAGAACAAAAATGTCAAAATCCATGTTTGGATGGAGCTTCAAAGTCAGATCCCTTCCATGGGCGCCTTAAAATAGCATTCCCCACCTACTGATTCTCCATCTTTTTTTCCTCCCCCTGAATGTAATAAACTCAGTGAAACTCTCAGAAATTTCATGGGAGCCAGCCACCCTGTTAAGCATTCTTGAGTTGTTGGGACCATTGAGACAATGAGCCTAACTCTGGGTAAACGATGATTTTATGTAAGCAAAATCCAGGGGCTGCTCGGCTTACTTGCTGGAAATTCCCACTGCATTAAACTCCATCCCACGCACATGGAAGATGTGAAAGGGACCTTAAGAATGATTAAATGACAGTGACAGCAGAAAGGGAACTGAAAGTTCGGCTCATTTTACACATGAGGAAACTGAGGCTCAGACATATCGACACCTCCGCCAGTATCCCGCACCTCTTTAAAACCGGAGCTCATGGAAGGGTCCAGACCTCCTCCCTCAGTCCCAGGCTCATTCACCATGTGAACTGACAAGAGACAAAAGGAGGAAGAAGGGAAACAGGAATCTTTATGTTGACAGGGTTACTTTCAGAAAAGGAAAACAGGCGGATTTTAAGCCTATTTTAAAGCCTGCTTTAAATTGTCAGTAAAAATGAAATTGTTCTTTCTATGAAGTCTAAGCCAAGAATTAGCGTGGTGAAGCTGTCTTGTGATGATGGATGGGGGGAGGCGGGAGGATGGGTCTGTACCCGGGTCTCCACGGAGGAGCCAAGCTCTCTTTGCAGATCCATTTCCTGAACTGGCAGCCAAGCAAAATAGTTCATCACCAAGTTTTCTAGAGGCTCAGCAGTTAAAGAGTGAGAGACTTGAAACACGGGCTATATTTTTAACAGCCGCGAAAGAGAGTCCTCTTCTCTCTAGCTGAGTGACCGTTTGCATCATCATAATTGAAGAACAGTAAAATGGCAGAGCCAAGCTGGTAAGGTGAATGGCCTGACCAGTTAGTCAACCTGCAGCCTCCTCTGGGAAATCTGAGAGCAGGAAGCTGGTGCCGGCCGAAACTCGCCTTATCTATCTGCTAGAAATTGGGAGGCACAGCGTGAATGAGGCTTTTTATGAGGATGAAACAGGACAAGCAGTGGGTGTGTACCCCACTGTTAGTTTCTCCAGGGACTGACACGATGGGGCTAAAAGAACAGATTTGTCCTAGGTGATGGAGCGGTACCACCTGGGTTACAGGAGTATCATCTTGCAGGAAGACACCTAAAGTTGGAGCAGGTTCAAACCACTTGCCTTGGGCCATGGGAAACACACACACACACACCCCTCACCCCACCCCGCAGAAACAAGCTAGCTTTTTCTCCAGAACTAACTTCCTGGCCACCTCTCTTTCCAGCCATCCTGAGTCGAACAAGAAATACAGCTTGGAGACCACATTACCAGACAAAAGATGCTCAAAGATTAAGCACCTAACCTCCAAATTGAAAGCACTTTCCTGAAGACAAATCTCAGGCAGTTGACCCAGCAAAGAGGCAGATTCTCTAATAAATTCCTGCGCATGTGATAGCCCTTCCAAAATCCTCTGAAAGGAGCAAATTGGCTATTAAAACACACATTCTTTGACTTGCCTTCTGGAAACTGTTGCTTTTGTGTGTCTTGGGCATAAACAACACATCCTGTTCAAACACTGACCACTTGCTCCCTCTCTGAAAGATGACTGAAGATTTAAAAAGCTAATAGGAAGAAGGCATACATCTGACATACCATGCGTTTAGATTGGAATGATCTACAACATTAATAATACAAGGGAAAATCATTATCTTAATATTACACTGTAACTATACCCCATTTTCAGTCAGCCCCCAAGCAGGGAAGGAAAAAAAAAGCTGCCTGGGATGAAGGCCATGTTTGAAAATATTATCCAAACACCTTCTCAAGTCAGAAATCCATTCTCTGCATGTCCTGACAGCATTGCTGGTCCCTGGCAGGTGCCTGTATTCGAGTAGAATGTTGCACGCAAGGAGATGAATACACTCTTGCTTGATTTAAGATTCTTTTTCCCTGCAGCATTTCAGGAGAGTGAGTAAATATGAGATGGAGTGATCTAATTTCTAGGACCTTCATTCTTTCCTCTTCCAAGATTTGCTTGGTCTCGCTTGAGTTGAATTCTCTGAGTTATTTTGCCGATTGAATATAGACTATTTTAGTTACACATATTGAGATTAATTAGTTAGCCCTTAGGAGGTTTTGCCTGCAGCCTTCACCCTGTAAGGAAAAGTGTGAATACATTGAGACTATTAATTCACAATAAATGGCAGATCATAGCCCTTGCTGAGTAAATTTGTTTGTCTTTCATAAGCTTTGCTAACTGAGTAAGCACACTATCTCAGGCAGTATCCTTTGCTATCACTAACTAAATTCCCAGTGAACTTATTCTTCAGGTTTCAATGGAAATCTTTTGTTATTATTTTGTTTTAATTTTGGAGGATGGGGACCCAAACCTTTTGTGCAACCAAATTGGCCACGGGGATTTGAAAGGGGAGGATACTAATATTGTCACTTGGCTGAGAATCAGCATCACCCTTTTTTTCCAGATGATCCCAGTAATTGTAGAGAAATTGCTCTAGACATAACCACTGGAATGGCAGAATCTATTAAAAATCGAAAAGCTAAATAGGCTTTTGTAAGCAAAGATCCGATCTGCTTTCAGTGTTTGGTGAAACACAGGCGAAGTTATGGTCGTGTGCTTAGTTTTTCAAGAACAACATAAATGCACTAGAGTTGTGATCATTTGATAAACATGTTGATGCCAATATATTTTTGCCGAAATGCAATAAACTCACCAGTAAGTGATGCAAGTTGACAATGGGAGGTAAAAAGAGTATCTTGGGGATGTTGGTGGGCGGCGACGGGAAAACAGCTAGCGTTCGTAATGCTTAGTGAATTCCTGTGTATTTGAAATGTCAAAGAAAATGCGATGTTTCTCTAAATTGTGTCTCTCTCTACATGTATAAATGAACAGACGCAGATAGAGCTCAAAAACATGGCATGGATGAATTTATCTCTTCCAACCCCTGTAACTTTGACCACGCTTCCCTCTTTGAGATGGTACAACGCCTAACTTTGGATCACAGACTTAATGATTCCTATTCTTGCCTGGCAAGTATATTCTTTGGTCTACAGCAATTTAAACGCAATAACATTTTGAAAGATAAAATATTTCTCTACCTTTGTGTCAGAAGCTCTTCTCCCCATTACGGAGCCTCTTTAACAATTATAAATGTGTTCTTGATTTCCTGGGTTGAGATAGTTTTCCTTACCAAAGAAAGAAGACAGAGCGGGAGGAAGTTACCAGTAGAGACAGATCCAATTCCCCAGCCTCCCTATCTGAGCTTCCCCCTTTCAGCTGCTACATGAGAAATATTCTCAAGAGGATAATCGGGTTTGGCACCTACTTGTAGAGAACTTGTAAAAATTGCCTTGGTTTCTTAGTCTTCAAGATCCCCCTCCCACCTCATTCCAGATAATAAGACCCTGTGCTCCTGTCTCGGAAATGAATAGATCCTTTTTGTTTATATTTTTAAAGATTAAAATGGTTCGTCAATAAAGTTCACTTCCCCTTTCATAAGCTAAATGGGTTTGGGTTGGTTTGTTTGGGTGGCTTTTTTTCCCTACATAGTATTCAAAGCACTTTTATACCCTCTGAGGGGATTTTTTAATGGTGCTTAAGATGGTTAGAAGTCCAACTCTCCCGCAAGAGCATGGGCATTTCTTAAAATCCTGTTTTAAGCCTAGATTTAAATCATTTAAATGCAAGGGACTGCTATTATGTCTTTATTGGATTTCTGAAGATACATTTTGGGCTTTATACTATGCAATTTAAAAGAGACTCAATTTATTTTCTTCTGCAAACCAGAAATTGTTATTTCTTAAAGATAGACTATTGATCCCACTTTATAGATGGGAAAGGTGAGGGGAAAGGGTGCAATGGCTTTACACAGAGGAAAAGCCTCATCTCTGACTCCACATACTAAGATGAATATATCTGTATGTTGTTAATATTAATTAACTCAGGTTAACGTTTTATTGATATCAACATAAATATAATGAAAATCTGGATTTTTTTCTTTAAATGACATGGCTTTCTCCTAAATCTGTTCCAATTTTTCTTTTAAATTCCTTTTTTTGTTCTTTGTCAGAAGCCAAAATGTAAAAATGACAGATAAAATAGTCTAAAAAACAGAAGCAGGATCATGTGGAATAATTTATTAATCTTTGTCTCATAAAAGATTCACTGATTATCTCAGGTTTAGAATCACATTATCAGAAGTCTGAACTTTGCCAAACTGAAAAGGAATACATCATTTTGACTTTAAAAAAAAAAAAAGGCTTACCTTGCATTGCAAGGCAGTTTTTCTCAAATGTGTTTTCTGTGATTATGTAATTATTCACATAATTATAAATTGTGTTCATGAAACTTGTAAGAATTTGCCTCTGAACTTAAATTGTTTCCTTTTATATATAATTCCTAGTCTCTTGAGGAATGTTTTTGAGACATATTATTTTCAAGACTTTTTTCAAATCGTACTTTCTTCAAACAGTTTTCTTTTTCACTAAGAAATTCATCACTGAGGAGTGAATGCCCTCTAAAAAATGAAACCAGAAATGAAATTTTGAAGCTTGCTTCCTGCTAGTCATATTCAGGCCTAAAAACGCCAAATTAATTGTGAATAGTGTAAAAGAGTTTCCTTCCCTATTTGTATACCTGTATGTATTAATCGTCATCCCCCAATTTCAGAAAATAAGAACCATTAAGAGGACCTCATCTCCTGCCTCCATACATTCCATTTTCTCATTATTACAGTCTTTTTTTTCCAGTCAGTTTTGGAGACCGACCAGCAGGGATACATAAATTTTTCTGTGTCTTCGACTGAGCTCCTAATTGATATTTCTTCAACTCTTTTCAAAGCAGCTATTTTGGCATCTACAAAAGACTTGGTGTCATCTGAGTCGTAGAAAATATATTTTAATCTTTCACAGCAGTGTTGTTTCTAAGATTTAGCATTTGGGGTAGCAGATGGAGTGGCAAAGAAGTTGCCTATAGGGGCAGCCCACTGCCTCGACTACTCTCCCGCCCTCTGCAGTAACTTATCATTTGAAATAGGAAAGATGCCGTCTTTCGTCGGATGCATTGCTGAGCTGCATGTTGTCAATCGAAGACTCCCCGGATCCCTAGCACAAGATCCGAGTGTTGGGGGGGCCTCCCTCGCTGCACTTCTGTGGCCTCTACCTGCCACCCAGTCACTTTCTCCTTTTGCTTTTTCTCTCCCAGGATGGAGAGGTATATTCAAAAGATGACTCAGAGAAGACCCTCACAGTAAAATTAGGTTTATATTTAAGATCATCCTAAATTCCCAGCTTACAAAGTACCACCTCAATTTTTATTTCTGGCTTCAGAAAGGTAATCAGACTGAAAGAAGTGATTTCATTACAGGCTTGTCCCAAGAGTGACTTTGAGCGGCAAGTCGCTGGGCCTTACTGAGCATCTTTTTTCTTAAGTGCTTAGTGGAGGCAGCAGTTTCTACACCATGGCACCTCCTAATGTGCTCTGCATCAGAGATTCCAGCCCAATTCTTTTTTAGAGCAGAGTTTTGTGTGGTCCTGCAGCACGCAAATATATAATAAGAAAACAAATAACTGCCAGGGAGACTATAAAACACTCAGCCTGGGCACAGGAAGCTCCTCTCAGTTTAGTTGAATCCTATATGATTCACAACTTGAGAACTTAAAGTCATGTTCTTTTTGGAAAGTTCTGTTATTATCTTCATTTTAAAATCTTAAAAAAAATTTTTTTTCTTCCAAAGTGAAAGGATTTATGAAGTCCTGGCATGAATGTAGATCAATCCTAGTATTTGTTAATGCTCCAGAGTATTAAAAATACAGAAGACATGGAGAACGACAGAGCTGGGTTTGAGTCCTGGCTGTTTTGTATTATTTGTGAGCTCTTATTTTCATTTCCTCATCTATGAAATAAAGATAAACCTGCCCTGTATACTTCTTGAGGTTGTCATGGGCTCAACTAAAAGCTCTTGTCAAGGGTAAAGCACTGTACCAATTTAAGGCATTAATGTTAATATTTTCTCTTATCAGCAACCAAGACTTGGCCCTGGCCCCACTCCAGTGCTCTTAGGGTTTATGGTTCAGTGTTAAAGCAGTGGGCGAGACTCTTGTTTCTGGAATCTTGCCCTCTGCTAATCCATACTCCATCACTTCCTAGCTGTGGGACACTAGGGAAATTCCATGTACTCCTGAGCTCAGATTTCCCATCCATCCAACAGGGAGAGCAGCACCTCCCTCATAGGGCTCTGGTGAGGACTAACCCAGCTAGCACTCACGGTGTTTGACAGAGTGACTGGTGCTCAATGAGCAATCAGGAGGTGTTGGCTCTGGCTATTTTTAACCCCCTTCTCCAGTCACCCCCAACTGTAGAGCTCTCCTCGAAATAAACCCAACCTGTATTTGAAAGACGGTCTCTCCTTTATTCCCCGATCAGGGCTGGTTCAGTCCTGGCCAGGTGTTTGTACTAGACGAGTACTGCGCCCGGAACGGAGTCCGAGGCTGCCACCGCCATCTCTGCTACCTCAGAGACTTGCTCGAACGGGCAGAAAACGGCGCCATGATCGACCCAACCCTCCTCCACTATAGCTTCGCCTTCTGTGCGTCCCACGTCCATGGGAACAGGTAGGCACGTGTCTGGGGGCTGTTCCTTTTAAAAAGATGTTTAAGGTGCTGGCAGTGGTTTACAGCTGGGCCTGCTCTTGCTGTCGTCTCTAAGTCTCCCCATTCCTATTCGCTCAGTAGTACAGACGTGTGGGCACACACACACCAGCCACCCAGACACAAAGAACATACACACAGGTCTGAGTTTCTTCTCCTTTCTTGAGTCTCAACAGAAACAGCAAACAGGACTTATAGAGTGGTCTCTGAAGTTAAAACAATCTAGACTCAGATAATAGCTGCTCCATTTGCTAGCATTACCTGGGTAGCAGTTAAACCCTCTCTGCCTCTGTCTTCTCATCTGTAAAACAGGGAAGATAGAATCTCCATGGGATTGTTGAGAGGATGTAAGTGGATATAAAAGGTTCAGCACAATGCCTGGAACATGGCAAGGGCTCAATAAATATCTGTCTTTGTTGTTGTTATTTATTTCATTTAAAAAAATGGCTCCTTACTGAAGGTCAGGAACTCTGGTACACCTTCCGCGTACATGGTGAGCAAAAACTAGACATTAAGCAAAGGCAGAGTTACAGAGAAATTGATTCTTTGAGAAACAGGGATGAAATCCCATGGTAGCATTTAATGAAGGACCATGATTCAGATGGGGTGGCAGGATGCTGGGAGAGTCTCCCTGAGGAAGTGATGCTTGGCCCGAGTACTGAAGTTAGAGTTGAGTGGTCCTGGGAGAAAGGAGGAGCATGTACAAATGCTCAGCAGAGGAAACTCAAGGGCTGAAGCAAGCAAGGTGATGCTAGGAGACGTAGATAATCATGGCACTTTGAGTTTAACCAGAGAGCTGGGAGGAACTTCAGAGATCATGGTGGAGTCATCCCCTTCGGTTTATGGTTTTACAGACAAGACCAGAACATCAGGTCTCCTAACTTCATACTAAGTACTTTCTTTCTTTAGACATTGCCCAGCTCCTGGAGGAAAAGATCTGTGTTCTGAATAATGCAAAAAGCAGTAAATAACTTAAGAATGGTACCATTTGGCTCTGAAGACCTGGAGTAAATTTCTGCACTGCCACAGCCAGTTTACTATCCCAGTGTGTGTAGCCTCACATTACTATAAAGAGAAGCCTCCATTACCCCCACGAGCCCCTACCAATAGCCAGGGAAGGCACACCCAGGGAAAACTAGGTGGCTTCAGAAACCCAGCCTGCAGTGAAAAGCTTGCTGCTCTGGGGAAAGTCTTACATGGGAGAATCCAGAATTGACGACTTTTTCTTTTAAATCAGAACTGTGTCAGTCATCTTTGCAAGCTATACAACTCTGGAGTATCTGTGGGGTTGGTTTTGCGCCTTTCCTGTCTCTAGTGCTGGTAGATTTTATGAGATGCAACTTCAACATTTAGAGCTGGGTAACAATAGCACTGTAGGTTTGAATATTTAACAGGCAACAAGATTTTCATCACCTCCCATTGTTACCAGGTTTGCTAGCCCAGCACATGACCTTTCATTTGCATAAAAGATATTCATGAAAACTCTGATACCTGGGGACTATCTCTGCATAATTCTGCTTTTTATAAATATGTACACTTTGATGACTATCTGTTACAGCCTCTTGGACTGAATTCTTTAAAGAGAGAGAGAGAGAAGTTGCATTATATTCTCTGGGTTGTCACACTGTATTCTACATATGTTACTGAATAAGGAAGTGTTATAAAATAATGAAGTGTTTTTGTAAACTCCCTGGTAAACATCATCATGAATTATGATACACATTGTCTGGATTTCATATTGTAAGACTGCCACTTGATTCACAGTTAGGTTTATACATCTTGTCATGGAAACAGTTTTGGATTTCTTATTTTCTTTTCAGTTCTGATTTTCCTTATGCAAGTTTGCATCTTTTTTTTTTTTTGCTTATTATTTTAGTTTGAATGCATTTGCTCTTGCTGTTTGATGCATCCTTCTTTTTCTTTCTTTTGTTTGTGCATGTATGTGTGCTCTTGATTCTCCCATGGCTGGCCACACTCTGTGCATGCTCCATGCGACCACCCCCTCTCCAAAGTCAACAAATGCATGCGTACCTTGGTGGGCTGCCACCAAACACAGACCCTGAAGGGAGCAAAACTCCCTCCCCATCTGAACCAGAGGCTAAAAAAGATACCAAAAAGGAATCCAAAAAAAGAAAAAATCCCAAAACCCAGGCAAATCCAGAGCCTAAAAGGTAAGATGTTTTGTGTGTATTGGCTTGTGTTTTGGGATGTCTGTGACCTTTCCCTCTCCCCCATCTATGCTGAATCTCAGCCTTAACAAACAGCAAGCTTTGTGTATTCCTGAAGTCTCTGTTTGAAGGTGCACTTTAAAAAAACACGCTAGCAATGGGCAACAATATCGTGTATTAGGACTGAATTTGAATCGGGTATTTAGTGACTCTTAAAGCATGTTCATATTGAAAAAAACTAATCGAGCAATATGTAAACAGAAGCATGAGTCAGATTGCTTTTTTTAGTGGCATCTAGTTAGGGGCCTGGTAGCTTAACAAGTCACTCATAATAAGCAACCCATGATTTATAATTTTGAAATTATGGTTAAGGAGCAAATAAAATGGGTTGGCATAAAATGAGTTTATACCTTTATAGTAGATCCATCATTTTCAGCAGACCCTCTCAGTTCTACATTTATCGCATGAAAGTAATCCATTTTCCAATAATTGTTTATAATGCACGAAGTAATGTCTGTCACCAAATTAATGACTCCTCATAGAATCATTTATATGATGAAGTCACCTTGAAAATACTTTTAAGTTCTAAAATTATGTTTATCCTCTCTTGTTTCATGTGTCTTTTAGATGTTCTCTTTGTGAATTGGTAAAATGGCGAATTGGTGGCTTTTATTCCCTTTTAAAGGAAATTAAGTAGGTGTACAGTTATATCCAGCATTATCCCTATGTCCTTCTTCACCCTCCCTATCTCGCCCCAAATTAGCACTGACAGTTTAAAGTTCGTGGTGAGGTTTGGAATGAATGCTCTGACCCTGGGATTGCCCAAGGACACAGAGTTCGCAGGGAGCTCTGCTCTGTGCTTCACTGTGGATTTGCTCAGTTGAAACTTTGTAAGTCCTCACATTCATACAGTTCGCTGTAGGCAGACCAAATGAAAAGGCCAGTTTCACTTCCTAGGAAATGAAGCAGGCAGTGGATCATTGTATGCCAGTCTAATAGTGAAGGTCAAAAAAAGCCCCAATTTCATGGGAACACCCGTCTTCTGAACTTGCAGTATACACAGAGAGGAGTGGAGTTTGTGTGTTTCCCTGTGTGGGTCAGAGTGCAGGGCAGAAGTAGCTTGCAGTCGGTAAGAAAATGCAGAGTATTATAGGTGCATGAAAAGGAGGCTTCTTTGGCTGCTGTCCGAGGTGCTGGTTTTGGCATGATCAGCACTGAAGCAGAGCAGAGAGCAAATGGCTGCAGTTCCTGGAGCCTGACCTGTTTTCTGTGCCATGAAAAACTACCAGGAAAGATTGTGAGTGGTACTTTGAGGCTTATACACATAAGGGTCTGTATTTGCTATTTTTTAAGGAAGAAAAAATCATAATCTTAAATATCTGTACTTAAGTGTGGTATTCTGCAGTCTACAAAATGCTTTTAACATATTCCTGTCTCTGTACATGTCACTTGCTGTAACATTTCAGGTCAGGTGCTTTTATACCCATTTTGCAGATGATGAAACTGAATGTCTGAAAATTGAGGTGGCAAACCCAAATATTCTGAGTCTAAAGTTCTTCTTTGTACCACATCAGCACTGTATGTAGATTCTAAAGATCTGAGTGTTAGAGCCGGTTCTCAATAAATCTAAGATGATCATATCTCATTTCAGTGCCTCAGTTTTCTCATCTGCAAAATAAGCACATAGAATTATAGCATCTGTTATACTCCATAAACCTCTAAAATTATCTTCCATGGGCTATATTAAGTTAAATAGACCATTGTTAGATTTCATAGAAAAAGTGTAATTAAAATAAGGATACTTATCACCATTTAATGTGTTTTCTATATGCAAAGTACTGTGTGAAGTTCTATTTACATATATTATCTCATTTTATCCTTAATACTTCACTGTGAGATCTGTATTATTATTACTGTCACCTAACAGATGAAGGGTTTGAGGCTCAGATAAATTCAGTCACTGTCTTCAGTGAGCATGGCTCACTTTGGAGCTTGGGTTCGTAACTTCTCTGCCTTATTACCTGCCCAGCATTAGCACTCTGTGTGGTGTGAGATGCAAATTCAGCCCATTGAATATGAGTTTCAACATTTCCAGGTGACCTACTGTAGCAGCTGTCTGAATTAATTAAAGAAATTAATTTAAAAATTAATTAAAAATTTCCATTTTTGTCCTGAAGATGTCCACAGTCAGTCCGGCCCACCTGGTGATTTTGACCTTGTAGAAAAAGAGTGTATCTGGAGCTTAGGGCCACCTAGAGGAGAGGTTCCTTTGAGCACCAATTAACACTGGAAAATATTTTCCTGCCTCTCTCACCAGGATGAACACTGTTTGCATGTGGACAGGTTAGCTCTTCTTTGACTCACAGTAAGAAGGAACTCATGACCCATGAAAACAAACTGCCCTTTAACTGAATTTAACTCAACAATAGATTCCATTCCTATTGTCATCTCACAACCAACTTTAGGTAAAAAGTAGCTTTTTGTCCAGTTATTGATTTTTTTTTACCTATTAATAACTCAGCAGCCCCAAACATGGGGCAGAGCGCAGCCCTGCTGCAGCTAGACATCATTAGTGATCACTCCGGTGCTGGTGACTGAGTTTGTCCCGTCTTCTCTGGAAGCCTGTGCTGCGTCGTTGTGAGACACTATGGCCGTTACTGTTGTCAGTCGCCAAGTTACGGCTCTCACTTTCGCAGCCCCAGGGACTGAAACCCGAAGGACTCTGACTATGGGATTTCCCAGGAAAGACTACTAGACTGGGTTGCCATTTCCTTCTCCAGGGGATCTTCCCGACCC